CCTCCAACCTAATAGCGATGGCCTCCAACCTAGTAGTGTCCTTGCTAGCAATGGCCTTCAACCTAATAGCAATGGCCTCCAACGTAGTAGTGTCCTTGCTACTAGTAGTGATGGCCTCCAACCTAATAGCGATGCCCTCCAACCTAGTAGTGTCCTTGCTACTAGTAGTAATGGCCTCCAACCTAATAGCGATGGCCTCCAACCTAGTAGTGTCCTTGCTACTAGTAGTAATGGCCTTCAACCTAATAGCGATGGCCTCCAACCTAGAGTGTCCTTGCTACTAGTATGGCCTCCAACCTAGTAGTAACCTTGCTACCAGTAGTAATGGCCTTCAACCTAATGGCGATGGCCTCCAACCTAGTAGTGTCCTTGCTACTAGTAGTAATGGCCTCCAACCTAATAGCGATGGCCTCCAACCTAGTAGTGTCCTTGCTACTAGTAGTAATGGCCTCCAACCTAATAGCGATGGCCTCCAACCTAGTAGTGTCCTTGCTACTAGTAGTAACGGCCTCCAACCTAATAGCGATGGCCTCCAACCTAGTAGTGTCCGTGTTACTAGTAGTAATGGCCTTCAACCTAATAGCGATGGCCTCCAACCTAGTTGTAGATTTGTAGGAAAAAAGCATGATTGTGTTTCGCCTTTGGTGACCTTTGTCCAGATCGTGCGTCAAAAGTGGGTTGTTTGTCGTGTCTAGTGTCGGCTCCGCAGTGCGGGCCTTCAAGCCCATACTGTACAGTGACTGTCGGCCTTGTTAGCCGATGAATTCTAGTATTTGGTTTCACCTGTCATTCTTTGTCTGTTCTGTCCTCCATACATTGTCTTCTGCCGCTTAAACAAAAAATGCAGTTGTTTCTATCGACCTCGTTCCATCTCTGTTTGGTCAAGGTCTTCAGCTTGTCATCGATGCACCTGAACAAAGGGCCATTGGTGCACCGTGCATTTCAGAGATACGGGAATAAACTGAAATAAAGACAACCTGTGAACACAGCACTGAGGTTGCAGCAAATATTGGTAGATGATGCTGGTGGGACCAAAGTAGCCGATCGAGCGCGTGGCCTGAAAGGAAGACTGAAATGGATCCACAAATCAAACATCTAAAAATAAGGATCCAGGATCAATGATTGAACCTCTGAAGTCTCACATCCATCGAAAATCATGGAACATCCCATCGCAGTTTCCTCACCTTGTCCCACTCTTCGAAGTCCACGGTGGAGCTGCCATCTTTGTCCAGCAACGCATATGCCACCTTCAGGTACATTGCTAGCATCTTCACAAAGTTTGCATGATGTCCTGAAAGACTTGAAGCTAGCTGACACTTCCTAATACCTTCTCATGCTTCACTTTTTCAACATATATACCAGTACTTCTCTTGTCTCCAAGGCAACAGGCCCTGCCTCGACGCTGCCAAAGGTGTAGTGCACATGCCTCGGTCATTGGAATCCCGAAACACCCCAAAGCACCACTGCATGGTATAGACCTTGCAAATGTTTGCGGTCTCAAAACAAACATCAAACTAAAGAGGTCCGAAATGACGAGCGGAACAGTATCTCATGCAACCCAATACATCCTTATAATATCTCTAGATGGACATGTAGATGTCAAAACCCAAAAACTGTGAGGTCCCAGCTGAAGGAGCTCTAAAATGGCAAGCTGCAGCTCCTTCAAGTCTTTTGCTTTGTTTCCAGTCGGCATGGGCTTTGCAATTGGGATTGCATCTTCGAATGGCGAGGAATCACCAGTCGTCCGAAAACAAGTGTCATCTAGAAGACTTCATGCGACTTCCATTTCGTGAGCATTTACAGGCCATTTCCATTCGGTTGGAGGCCATCGCTCGTAGGGAGGCTAAATGATCTTGGCACCTGCAAGAGGCCATTCATCACCTGCCACTCCTCAAAGGAGATGGAGCCTCGTCGGCATCACCCCGCTTCTCGCGTCTCGCTTCGCTCTCAATGAAAAGGTGCAAGCGCATGAGCACAGGCCTCCGCCATCTGGATCCAGGTAGCGAAAGATCTGGACAGCTTTCTCAGGGTCTTTGAACCTGAGTACTGAAGGATGAAATCTATAGTCTTGACGACATGCCTTGACAACTACTTGTAAAGCCCTCAATGTAAACCCAGCAAACGGTGAAAACTGTTGCAAGAAGCAAAGCTGTGTTTCAGGCTCTTTCCAACCAAGATTAGCCACAGCTTTTTTGAACTCCATCCTGGCACATGCAATATCTCAAGGCTGCTTTCATCCAAGATTCTGGCATCCAAAGCTTGGGCATCTGTATGTGGCCCGTGATCTCCCCACAATTTCCAACTGAATTGTATGGTATGTCTTCGTGTGCACACTTCGTGTGTCTTCCAGCCAACTGCCAGCTTTGAGCTTTGTCACAGACTCATGTGCAAGACATGGCAGCTCCACAAGGACAGAACGCCGTTGCCATCAGGCCTTGACTGGGTCAACTGGACTCCTACAAGACCGACTCAACACACCGCCAGTTTGGGATCCGACTTCAGATCGAGAAATAGAGATAAAGCAATTGCGCCAGCATAGATCCCAAATAGCAAGAAAAATGTGCAGCACCATAGCATAGCAGTGGCACGAGCATGCAGGCTCGAAACCACACACTGCCACTAGCATCTGCCAGCAGCACCCTGCAGTGACACTCTGTAGCGAACTCCAGTGGCACCAGCGCCCAGGCCTCAAAGCACACACGGCGATAGACATCTCGCAGCACCCTGGAGCGGCACCCACCGGCATCCAGGCTCCGAAGCGCACACGGCCATACACGGCCATGGGCATCTTGCAGCAGCACCCTGCAGCGGCACACGGCCACACATCTAGCAGCGGCACCCTGCAGCGGCATGAGCAGCGCACCCAGGCTCCAAAGCGCAGTGCCTCTTCCAAAACTTAACGCAAGAACCCCAATAGCTCTATATTTGGGGAAAACTAGGTAGTGGCCCTTACCTGCTGTCGGTTTACCTTCTTTTGTTCATCTTCTTTTTCGTAAATCCATCATTTCACCGAGTGCTTTATCGGGTTTCTACTGCTTTCACACCTGCAAACTGTCTCCGAGGTCCAAGCCCGTCAATCATCTGGAACGCAGCCTGCACATTGTTCTTGAAGTGCCGCATCACCTTCCAAAATTGAGCCCAGGAAGTGGGAGGAATCACCTCAAAAAACCTAGCGATACTCCATTCTTAGCCTACATTGCCTACATGTGTTTGACGGTAGAAAATGAAATTTTGCAAACCTTCCTAGCTGAGTCCCAGGCATGGACCAGGAAACTACTGACAGCTGGAGGCACACCCTGTACAAATCATCTCCGTGTGGACACAAGATGTGCAAAGCAAGAGTCTGCAAATGTGTGTTGTCCTGTTCATTCAACATTCTGATCTTTTATATGTATTTTATATGTATGCAAAGGAACAAATGTCAAAGCTGCGTAGAGTTGCATGGCATACGTTCACCTCTCTGCAGTCTGCATGTTCAATCCTCCATGCTTGTTTGGAGTTACAAAGGACTACTTTCGCAAAGTGCTTAAGCTGCCTGGAGGAATGACCACCAAATGATGTTTTCCTTGCTGAGGTCGGCATTCCAGCCCCTTGGACGCAAATCCACATGAAAGCTCCAAAGAAGAGCGAGTGGCATAAGCCATGGATGAGTTCACCCTTCTGCTTGAGTCTGCCAAAAGAGGCCAACTGGGCTGATGCAGTGCCATTGCTACAATGAAACAGTTATATTTGAAGGAAACGATAACGACAGAGGCTATATATACCAGCACCATTCTGTAGCAGGCAGAATTACAGACTAGGGAGCACACCCACAGCGTGCAAGGAGCTCACGCCGCATCTCCATGCAGCGATCCTTCGACCAAAAGCAATGGGCATGGCATCGTACGGCCATGTAAAGCAATGATGTGCTGGTCTTTGCCGTGAAACGAAGAAAAATGGATAAAGGTGAATCAAGGTCTCATGAATTCGACAGAGGAGGAAATGAGAAACGGTTTCTTCGACGTACTGTATTCTTTGTGCTGAAGTTCATGTTTGCTAAAAATCTCATCGTGCAGCGCCTCCGGGGAGCACATATACTGCCAACTCAAAGTGCCTCCTTGAGGGATGGCCCTCAGTGCAACATAGTGCAACTCATGTGTCCAGACACAGGCATCGCTGAGTCACTAAGTGCCAAAGGCCTTAGTCAACCTTAGTCTCTGTTTCTCATCGTTTCTCCACCCAGTTGAGGCCGGAGCTGCACGTTTTGCCAGGACGTTGGCACCTTGCAGAGTTCTGGGCTCTGGCGGCAGAGAAAGCCAACCCAATAGCGAACTATATTGGACCTTTCTTCCTTTTCATTTGCCTTTGCTTCTAATAGTCATGGCCTCCCCCTAATAGCGATGGCCTCCAACCTAAGAGCGATGGCCTCCCCCTAATAGCGATGGCCTCCAACCCAAAAGCGATGGCCTCCAACCTAATAATAGCGATGGCCTCCAACCTAATAGCGATGGCCTCCAACCTAATAGCCATGGCCTCCAACCTAATAGAGATGGCCTCCCCCTAATAGCGATGGCCTCCAACCCAAGAGAGATGGCCTCCAACTTAAAAGCGATGGCCTCCAACCTAAAAGCGATGGCCCCCAACCTAAGAGCGATGGCCTCCCCC